CGGCCCTGCGAAGGAGAGCGCCGGGAGCCCGCCGCCCTCCCGTTCGGGGATTACAGGGACTCCCCGTGTTTTGTTCCGTGATGCTTGGAGGAGGCTTCTACTCCCGGATTTGCGGCGGAGGATGGCGATGAGGGGCTGAGGGGCTGCTGTGGTTCTTGAGATCTTAGTTGCGCGAGATGACACAGTTTACAAGTCCAGACAGCCGCCTCCCTGCCCCTCGTATCGCTGTTAAAACTCAACTTTCCGTTTTACGCACACCCGGTGTCGTGGGAACACTATTTCTCCGCAGGTAACAAAGTGTAATGTGTTTTGCCACTTGCTATTACCCTGCTACTGTTATTTCTCGTCCATTCGCAGAAAGAACAGTACTACTCTGAGCAACACTCTTCCTTGATTAACAAGGCCTACCAAACGCTCCTGAACCCTTTGAGCCGTGGCCTCTATCTAGTAAGGTGTCCGTTACGTATCTTATCAATACTCCTATAACTAATCACAGGTGGTAACGTAATGAATCAGACCTTTGACTCCATCATCAACATGCTGATTTGTGTTCCTCTGAAGAAGAGGATTACGAGGGGTTGAAGGCAGACCAAAAACAAGCTTCTGAAAATTAATCAGCTTTTCCACCGTTTTCTTTAACCTTTTACTGATTAGTGCCATCTCGTTTGCTGCCCGTGCTATGCTGATTTGTTTCCTGCATCACACGTTGTGTTTGGCCACGGCTGTTCCTTTGAAATTTCAGTCTGGCCCTTGGCAGCCCTTGTCACCTTTTTTTGCTTTGGTCAACTGCTGATTTTTATGGTCTACCTACGGAGTTAGTTTTAAGACTGACTCTGTTAATGCACAGTTCATGGAATAAACCGGAAGTTTATCAGATACGGATCGGAGGGAGCCCTACTAAAAGATTTAACATTCAAGAAAATAATTCACATTGAAATAGATGCAAGAATGTGTATTTCCAAATTGCCATTTTCTTCACCAGCTGGAGCTGAATGGAGTAAAGCCGGCACAAGAGACAGACTGTGATGGAGACTCAGTGTTTCTCAGGGAAATCATGGAAATTAATGAGAAATTAGCAGAGCCTAAAAATGAGGATATCCTTGAAGAAATTGAAACTTTAATTAAAGGTAGGTTATGATTTGAGGGGTTTGTACAGAACTAATTTACTGTATCTTGTATAACAGGAGAGTCTCTCTGAAGGCTTTTTCAGTCTTTCTTTTAGTATTTCTAATTTGCATTAGTCTTGAACTGACTCACTGCAAGAGCTTCCCCCCCCCCCAAATGTTGTCTTTACCAATTTATACCACCTGAACATCAAATTGGCTTGAGAAAAATTTGTATAACAGTACCTGTTCTAATGGCAAAATAGGTGTGTGTGTATATATATATTGACTATAAAAAGGAACTTCTTATTCAACCTTCAGCAGATCAGGGCAAGTAGACTGTTCTAAAAGAAAGAACTACTCAAAATAAAGTTTAATGAAATGCTTGACTGACCACGTTAAATAACTTCTTCATTTATACAGACATTGTATTTGTTTCACCTTCTTCAACTTAGCAACCATTATATTAAGTGGTTATTATCCTTACACAAGCAACTTTCTTGTTTATGTTGTTGGTGATACCCAAAACATTGAGTTTATTGGTATATTTAATTCTTTGCAATTAAGAGTAGCGTGCCAAAAGCAGTTAGAGTAACTAGAATAAAAACTAAGTAGAACAGAAGAAAATTAACTGTAGCAGGGTAAACTGATACACCAAAAGTAAGTTAGATTTCTGGGAAGTTAGTGACCGTTGATTTGCATTGGAATTGCTGTCTGTAAACCTAAATCAAGAAATATATGTTTGAAATTATAATATTAAAAAAAAATTGACAGCAATATTAGGGAAAGCTCTCTTAGCTCCCAAAAGACTATGAGACTAGTAATTAAGTTTCCCACCACAATCAGAATGCAGTGATATTAAATGTACCAAGTACGTAACAAAATGTGAATGAAATAATTTGTTTTACAGTTAAACAAGAAGAACTGACCAAAGAGGTGACTGCAGCTTTTGAAAGAGGTAGCTATTTCTGTGAAGTATTTAGCTACCATAGATAGCAGTTATAAATGCTTAAAACCCCCCTGTTATTGCCAAATATTTCCTGAACTACAGAACAGAAATACTGCAAAAATAACTGTTCTTTCTTTGGTATTTAGAATAAATACTTCTAAGCTGAGCTTTCTGCTGATTCAGGACCTCACATTAAATTAAAAAAAAAAATCCAATACAAAAGTTCCAGTTAATTCAATTTACATCAAAATGATCACTTCAAGTGGGAATGCAGATGCTAAGAATTTTTTATATGTTTGTTTCCCAGAATACTGGGAAGGACAGACTCTTTCTTAATCAAACTTACCACCTGTTCTGAGGTTTCAAACTTGAATTTGGGAGATCTTGCTCTGCAGACCTGACGCTGTCAACAGAGTAGCGGGTGCCGTTCTTTGCAGTGAACGTCAAGACAGGAACAATTCTGCTGCTTACCACTGAAGCTGTATGGCAAGACAAGACCTGATGCCCCATTTAGCCTCAGGTTTGAGGGACTTCCTGTGCAATAATCAACATAACTTTATTCCACAACCAGTTGACAGGCAGGAGCTTGAACCATTCCAGACTAGCTTCTTACTCTGGGAAGAAACCTTTACATTTCTCTCCTGGGTCTTGGAATGCTTTTATTGTTAGCTTTATGTCGTAGTGTGTTGTAATTGTAAAATATCAAACGCAAAGTAGTGCTGGCTAGGCCTGCAGGTGAAGAATTATATCCTCATAATCTGTTGCTCTTCGTACTAGGAGAGTTAAGGATTGTGTTGCATCTGTCCTTGTCAGTAGGTGATAAACCACCTTTCCCCTCCAATTGTTTAATTACGGAGAAACTGTTTCAATATCAGTTGTGGAATTGACACTATCCGTACTGGAGTCCTACAAACCTTTTGCATTTTTCAGTGATGGCCGTTGGTCTAATTACATACATTAAAAAAAAAAAGTAGTTTGTTTTGTCTATATACTTGAAATTCCCCAAGTGGCTACATCAATACTATAGCCACTTCACAGAAAAGTCATTAAAGGGTATTCATGCCACATTTCTTTTCTAGATTGTACATTTTCACATGTTTTGTGGAACATCTCAATTGAAGTGTTCCAAAACCATCCACGATGAAAATAATAGGCAACGTGGTTTTAATAGTGTATGGGTCCTTACAACTTGGGTACTGAAACAGGTGCTGTCATTGAAATCTTGAGATTCATTTTGAAAATGAAAATTCAGCCCTCCCTCTCTAAACTAGTAATGTTTTATTTCATTTCAGATGATCTTCAAGAAGCTAAGAAACTTCTAGCCAAAATGAAATACTTTGCAAACTTAGAGGATAAACTAAAGAACAAGAAGATCCCTTCCTGATACTGCCTCCTTCACCATTAAGAGTTAATGTTATTTTCAATTAAACAGCTGATTTAGTTACCAAAATCAGAAGAATGGTGTTTGCTTCCTACGTTTTCATTAAAAGCTTTAATTCTGAGAGAAGGAAGATAAACGTAAAAGAGATCCAGTGCTTACTGTAGCACTTATTAAGTAACAGATGGAATCGGGAAGTGCTTACAACCAGAAAAAGTTGTAATAAGTAAAGTAGGACTACTGTCCTAGCAGTTACAGGTATGGAGAGGAGTATCAGAGAGGCACACAAACACCGTATGCTATTAAGATTTCTTACTTTTTGACTACTAAAATACGAAGAATTTATTTGAAGTTGAGAAAGGGTCCTGGATAAAATGTTGGCGATTACGCAGAAAGCTCACTCAAAAGGTCCTTCAAGCTCTCTGTAGTCTCCTTGTGTGTGTTCTAGCAGACCACCTTGAAAAATCTTTAAAGGTGAAATGTATTTAATTCCTATCATCTGTCCTCTCTGCTACTTAGTGCTTTTTGTGATGTTGATCTCAGTCTGCCGGGAACTGACCTTCAAAACTAGAAGAGGTTCTATACCCTGTTGCACAGTTTAAAATGTTAAGATGCTACGTTAGGGCAAACAAATAAACCCAAACTCAAAATCCAGAAACTGTTTTTATTAGTACCCTTTTAGGAAACAAGTCTTTCTAATAAACTTTATTACAAATAACAGTAATTCAGATAGGTGCTGTACTGTCTTTGTACAGTTACAGTAGTAGGACTAGATGAGGAATGTCCTTAAATCTTTCAAAGAAGTTATTTAAGTGAAAAATGGCAACTAAATACCCCAATTTATATATAAACTAGAATATTTCAAATATTGATTTCTCAGTAGGTCAGTTCTTGTTCGGGTTTTAACGCCTCGGAATATTTTATTCAGTAAAGCAATAACATATGCTTGATTACCCGAACCTGAAGGGGCTTAGAAATGAAAGAAGAGCTACTGAATTATTAGAAGAAATCTGCCGGGGGGAGGAATTCATTGAACACCCTCTCCTGGCATTTCTGCATCCCTACAACATCAAGTTGTATCTAAACATTGAGTCTTCTATGTATAATATAATACGGTTTTAATAGCATTTCAGAAAGATTAACTTGCCTTTAATTAAACTTCCTCTAAATATACAGGAAGATTTAATAAGCTACTTGTTCATGGTATTACACTGCTAATTTAGAAGACACTTCATAATTCTCATTTAAGTTCTGTTACAGCTGTGAAATTACACAGAATTTTTTTAAAATTCATCATGGAGTTGTCCTCTTTCATAAAGCTCTGTTTCCTTTTTTTTGGTATTTCTTCCAAAATTAAGCTTGTGAAATTCCTTTTTGATTTCTAGGAAAGATTTGTTTTTTGTCTCAGGAATTACGAGGAAGATGAAAGCAGCAACTAAGGAGCACTCCAATAAGAACACCAGAAAACAATACTGCTTCAGTCCATTCTGAAAATAAAATGTATTTGATTGCAACATATTTCAAGTATGGGTGAAATACCATACCAACAGTGGATTTGGGGAAATAAAAAGCTTTTTATTCCCACTCACACCTAACATTGCTGCTCAGGTATTTTTAATAAAAAGTTGTTCAACCTATCCTTACTTTACATGTAGTTTTTTTTTTTTTTTTTAGATAAAAGACTACGAAGTGCTGTGCAATACACTTGGTAGTCTTATTTTAAAAAAAAAGATAAACCATTTAAACACAAACTAAACAATTCACAATGTAATGACAAGTCAGCATTTGCTACTTAGCCATCTCATATTTTAAGATTATATGATTTCTCTTTTTCTGAATGTTTATTAATATTTTTCAATGCTATACATTAAAAACCCCCAACTATCTTATTGAGAAGCAGAGTTCAACCAAGAAGAAAGCACTGTCAAATCAAGATACCCTGCTGCGTGCTGTTCCTGCACGTTTTCCTCTCAAGAATAAGTGCTAAAACTGAAAATACAAAGCTAGAAATGAAAGCCTACGTTGTTTTTCCTAATAATCTTCCTGATCACGGAACCCTCTGTATGTAAGTGTAGTGAGCTCTCAGACAAGATGTGAACCACTAGCCCCAGGTACTACTTCTACTTTACTTTGACATAAAAGCACAAGGCACTATTAAGAAATGTGTTATTTGAATCTCAGTATCTGATTAAGTTTTTCTAGTTTTGATACCTTCTCCATTTTTTTAATCTGAACATGAAAATTACCCCCATGCATTCCTTTTAATTTTCATTTATCGTGTTTTATTATTTTTTGTTAGTATCTAAAAAATATTTGAAGAGGGACTGAATCTAGTTATACTCAGTCGAGGGGTGGGGTGCATCCTATGTTTAAGTGTTACTGTATAAGAAAAAGCGATTTGATGGAACCCGAGAGAAGATGAAATGGGAGGTGAGGCAATTAGGAAAATGTGTTATGCTTACTTACCACTATGAA